GAGGCTGTGGGTGGAGAGGACCCGGCAGGGTGAGGCTGTGGGTGGAGAGGACCCGGCAGGGTGAGGCTGTGGGTGGAGAGGACCCGGCAGGGTGAGGCTGTGGGTGGAGAGGACCCGGCAGGGTGAGGCTGTGGGTGGAGAGGACCCGGCAGGGTGAGGCTGTGGGTGGAGAGGACCCGGCAGGGTGAGGCTGTGGGTGGAGAGGACCCGGCAGGGTGAGGCTGTGGGTGGAGAGGACCCGGCAGGGTGAGGCTGTGGGTGGAGAGGACCCGGCAGGGTGAGGCTGTGGGTGGAGAGGACCCGGCAGGGTGAGGCTGTGGGTGGAGAGGACCCGGCAGGGTGAGGCTGTGGGTGGAGAGGACCCGGCAGGGTGAGGCTGTGGGTGGAGAGGACCCGGCAGGGTGAGGCTGTGGGTGGAGAGGACCCGGCAGGGTGAGGCTGTGGGTGGAGAGGACCCGGCAGGGGTGAGGCTGTGCTCCTCCAGCAGCTCCGCGCCAAGCCTGGAGGTGGGCAGAAGCCTCGTCCATGACAAGAAGTGCCCTGAGTGGCAGTTGTGTTTCCTGGAGGTATTTCTTCACACTTGGAGCCAACACTTCATGAATCCACTCAATAAAAAACTTCCTGGTCACCCATGCTTTGCTGCTGGCCCTCCACATTCCACTTGTTTTTCACGGCATTATTTTTCTTGAAAACTCGCAGGTTTTCGGAATGGTGGACGAATAGAGGCTTCAATTTGAAGTCCCCACTCGCATTCCCACACAAGAGTCACGTCCGCCGCCCTTCACTGGCTGTGTCCCGGCGATGCCTCTCCTCTGGCGTGGTGGGTCCTCTCGGGCATGTTCTCCCAGGAGAGGCCTGTCTCGTCACAAAGGGACACTGATGGGAACAGATCCCTCGGCCTCCACAAGTTCTGTCACGAAGTCATGAGCAGCTGCTTTGCTAGAGCTGGCAGCCTCCCCACGCTCCCTCCGCCCTGAGTGCCGCTTCTCTCCTAACTTTACCAGGGGCCCTGCAGCCTTACAGACAACCTCAGCACTGGTCCCAGGGCGTCTTTCGGGAGGCCAGTGTGCAGCGTCTTCACTTTTTCACAGACTTGCCTTTGAAATGTTATCACTGGCTAACTGCTTTTCGTTTATCCAAATCAACAACCATTTTTCTAACTCTGTAGTTGCCTACAGTTGTTTCATGAGCACTTTCCCACCCTCAGCAACATCAATCAGCACTCTCGATGGCCTCTTTATGTTTTAAAGTTGTGCTAACTATTTTGCCCTGCCATACTCGGTAACCAGGTCAGACACACGAACACCTCTGTCATACCTCACAATTCTTTCTTTTTTAAGCTCTATCATTGTTCTTACAACTTTTAAAAAACATATTTTTAAAAATTACTTTTAGAGAGAGGAAGGGAGAGGGATAGAGAGAAACATCAATGAGAGAGACACATCGATTGGCTGCCTCCTGCATGTGGGGGATCGAGCCCATAACCATGTGCCCTGACTCAGAATCAAACCAATGACCTCTTGGCTCCTAGGTTGATGCCAGCCGGGCCTCACAACTTTCCTTTTCACTTTGCTGCTGTCACTCACATTCTTAGCACCCAGGATAATTTACTATAGGTGTTTAATAATAAGCAGCCACAAAACAAAAAACACGAAGATATTCACAGCACAATTTCCTGAGATGTTAACAACACAAGGTTAAGCAGTCAACTGACTCATATTCGTGCATTCTCTCCTTTGTTTGTTGCCTGAGAAACATGTGACTGACCATACAGGTTATTGGGTCAAAAATCGAAGTTTTGTTCAACAACCAAGATAATTTTTCCGTGAACAACTTGGTCGAGAACTGAGGTTTGACTGTACTCTCTTTCCACTGACGAAAGTGAGCTGATGAGGCTAGGCTGGGGGCAGGAGGCTGTTGTGCTCTTAGAAGGTGTCAGAGAACTGATGGCCGAATCTGTGTGGACGGTTTGGTCCAGGGGCAGAAGCAGAAGATGACAGAAGCTTTCGTTTGTCCAAAGAACAGAACCCATAGTTTAAATCAGTAATTGTTTATTTATCTGAAATTTGATGATTTAAAACTGTCAAAACTTGAGGAATACAGAAATGAATAGGATATGGTTCATGTTTTATAAGGTTTTAGTCTGGACTTTGGTGTACAATCCAAAGGAACAAAGGAAATAAAAGCATAACTTTCTTTTTTCCCCCTCAATAGACCTTCCTCTGGGTCTTTCAACCCCTGACACTGTAGGCGCACAGGCGGGATAAAGAACTACGTGAAGAGCAGCGAGGGGGCCACTGAGTCACTAACCAGCCAGGGCCCCTCGGGGCCAGCACTGCCGGTCACTGCTCCCCGGTGGTTTCCACCGCCTCTGCCCCTGGCGGTTTTCCACCTCCCCTGGAACAGGTTCTCCCAGCCCTGGGTCAGCGGGGCCCTGCTTTATCGCTGTCACCACAGTCTGTTGTCAGCCTAAGTGACCACCTTCCTCTGTTCTCTGAAGTAGGACAGTAAGGCTGCTCTCGAGGACAGGATTCAGTGCTGGCTGCTCTCCCCGAGCAGGGGCGGGACTCAGTGTGTGCCTGGTGGGAAGAAGACAGGAACACAGGTATTTGGGCATTGACCCAGCAAGATACTAGAGGCACAGAGCATCTCTGGATGTCTCCCACTTCTGTGTTTCCCCATATGGCTGTTCCTTTACAGGTGCCCCGCCCCTGCCCATTCCCGTTGGCACCAGAATCTTGCTCAGTAGAGAATGCACCTAACCTGCTCAGGGGCCCCACGGGGGTTGAAATAACAGCAGGTGGGCAGGGGGTGGATTAGCCAAGGCAGCTTGGTTGCAAATAACAAATGCCAACTCCAGCTTGCCTAGGCAGAGAGGAAAGTTGGTCATGAGAAGTCAGGGCTACCTACAACCCTGGGGTATGCGGGGCCTGGGGAATGGACAGAAGGGATCAGCAAAACCCTCCAAATCTCCTGTATGTCTCACTAGGCACACCTGCTGCACCTTCTCCCATTCACAGGTTGGGGCTGGCACAGGACTGACTCCCAGGGCCACATCCACGGACAGTCTCACCCGCAGGCTCCAGGCCCAGGCCAGGCTCTTGGGAGGGGGAGAAGCTGCTGGGCCAACGTGGGTGTGTATTTTCCCTCCCTGCCTGGGGCCATGGAACGGGGTCTGTTGACACGCTGTTTGGGCAGGTGCTCCAAGAGTTCTTAACTGACTGGAGAGAAGAGTGATGGTTTTTTCATCTTCATTCTTCTCGTCTCATAGTCAGCTGGATGGAAAGCGACACGAATGAAAAGGGGCTCCCTGAGCTGTTGGCCCTCCCATAGAAACAGGCCTCCAGCAGCGCCAGGAGGAGCTGCCATGCTGCTTCTCCCGCTCCCACAGCAGCGTGGGTGCTGGCGGTTAGGCCCAAACTCAAGTGCTAGTGCATGGGAAGCTAGGTCACGGGCCTCAGCTGGCGTGTGAATCAGATGGCTGAGGCCAAAGCAGCTGGTGGAAGATGGGGCTCGGGGTCACTTCCCAGGGGGCAGCTCTTGTGACTGCTCCCCAGCTGGGATTCCAGGGAGGCCTCAGCAGGCACCTCTGCCCAACTCAGGATCCTGAGGAAAGTGTCAGCCAACCCGACAGGGGCTGTCCTGATGCAGGGTTAAACCCCTGAGTGTGCAAATTAAATAAGCGGATCAAGGGAGCCAGACTGACAGTATGTTTCTAGTAAGTGAGATGCATCACTTGTAATTAACAAGGCATTTTGGAAGCTGGCGTTTTCACTTCAAGTGGGTCTGCGGGTAAGCGATAGCGTTGCTCTGGCTGCCTCGGGATTGGTTGGAGCATTGCTGGAGCCGGGAGGCAGTTAAATGCTGGAGACAGCAACAGAATTAGCACAGGACCCTGGTCCCCAAGGCTCCGCCTTCCCCTAGGAGTTTATAAGGTGATGGGTGACTCTGAAGAGCTGGGCCCAATTTTTGGGGAGCTGTTTGGCTATACTTTTAAAAAATGTATTCTGGCCCTAGCTGGTTTGGCTTAGTGGATAGAGAGTCAGCCTGCAGACTGAAGGGTCCCATGTTCGATTCCGGTCAAGGGCACATGCCTGGGTTGCAGGCTCCACCCCCAGTAGGAGGCAGCTGATCAATGATTCTCTCTCATCATTAATGTTTCTCTCTCCCTCTCCCTTCCACTCTGAGATCAATAAAAATATATTTTAAAAAATAAAATGTATTCTGTAACTTCCAAAGAACAGATTTTTTTTAATTTTTAAAGAGTTTCATGAATCAGTGGTAAGTGGCAATCCGTTTCCATCTGTGTTCTTTCCTCGCTGTGCTGTTTTCATGTAAAGGAAACTAGTGCTCACGCTTTCCTGTGGGTTTCCATGCGGGCAGCACGGGCTCCCCTCCCTGCTCAGCCCCAGACACCTCACCCGGGCGAGGCCGGCTCAGCTGTAGGGTCCTCGCATCGGCTGAGGAGACCTAGAGGGGCCTTTCCCAGCCACACGCCGCTGTCTCCTTCCTGTCAATTTGCCTGTGGTTCCTGCCTCCACTGACGAGAACCCCACACAGCAGTGTAGGAAATGGTGAGCGAGCTTGCAGACCCACAGCGCCCCTGGTCCCACGGCAGCCTGGCGGCGCCCTCTGCTCACCCTTCAACTAAACTCACCAGAAATCGATTTCCTTGCAATTAGGGAAATGCCTGCATGTTAGGATGTACTGCAAAGCTTGGGTGTTATTTCTCTGTCTCTTCTCCAAGGAAATACAGATGCTGAATTAAGTTTTATGTTTTTGTTCATGCTCAACAGCACCATTGAAAAACCAAGATTTTGCCACCCGCCTTGTGGCAGCGCTGGCAGGGGGAGAGGGACAGGATAGTTAGCCAGGGCAGTTTGCATTGGGGTCCAGGGGAGCACTGGCCTCTGAGAGAGCAGCTGGGTGCGGTGGGTGTTCAGGCGCCGTGACAGCCCTCGGGAGACACGCTTCCTAACAGGCCTCCTTTCTCCTTCCAGGCGTGGGCTGACGCCTTTCGAAGCAGTCCTGACCTCACGGGTGTTGTGCATATATATGAGGAGCTGAAGAGGAAAGGGGTCGAGTTTCCTAATGCAGATTTGGACGCTCTGTCTCCCATACACACACCGCAACGGGTAAGCTCCCAGCTGGCATTTTCTAGAAAGGCCTATTGCAGAATACGCAACCGCAACCGCCCCTCTGCTGCTCCATTTGAATTATTCAGCTTGTCATCACGCTGTCTTGAAGCTCGAGGGCATTTCTCTTTAATAACAAGGGGAGTGCAGGAGTGAGACAGCTGGCTGATAGTGATTAAGTGGCTGCAGTGTCTCCCCCAGTTTTCATCCTGCCTGTGGAAGAGCATAATAGAGGGATCATTTCAGACATTCTCATGGAAATGGCTGCTGGGGGAAGCCATTCTCTGAGGGTCATTAGCACCTGCTCTTCAGAGGCCCCAGGAACGGGCGGGCCGGCCTCCCCTGGAGAACAGGAGCACCCCGGTGTTGGCAGTGCGGAGATGAGTGTGCTGCTGCGCTGGGCAGGGAGCAGCTTGGGGTTTCCCAGCCGTACAAGCTAATCAGATGCTCTAAATGGACCCATTATCAATGGCTCTAAAATTTACGGAGAGCTGGGAGCGTTCGGCATCAGCCCAGACACCTTGGGATTCAAAGCCCATGGAAGGCCATGTAGAGGCCTGCTGCGGAAGCCTTCAAGGCAGCCCTGTGCTGCAGAATTAAAAGCCTGCAGGAGAGGCTGGCCACCCTTTCCAGGAGCTAGTGTGCACCCTGTGGGCTGGGATCCAGGGGAGCCAGGGCTCAGGACACTGCCTTGCTGGCCCCTATCAGCCCATCTCTGAAATGGGGCGAAGAGGGCAGCAGCCTGTGCAGGTTTGTCGTGTGAGCACCGTTCATGCTCAAGAGGTTATCAGAGATGCCCAAAGGGAAGCATGAGGAATTATATTTTCCAGAGCAGTGTTTTCAGAATGACCCTCCAAAACACTGTGACTTGTGGAATAAACATAACCTGTTTTATTCTTCTAATAACTAGTGGCCCGGTGCACAAATTCATGCACATTGAAAGGAAATTAATTGGAAGAAATATTTTAATATCGCTATTCGCTCTTTCTCTATAATAGAAGTGTCAACCAAATTCACGATCGACAATGACAAGTTGAAACACACATGTGCGATTGGCGTCAGCGAGAGCGTTATATGTATCGCGCATGTGTGAGTCAACTTAGCCTTTTACAGATATAGAACAAACTTGCTTTATTAGACCTGCTTTCTGATGTAGCTAAACTTTTTCCAGCCCAGTGAAGCACCCCAACTTCTCTTTCAGGTAATTGTCAGCAACACAGCAGTAAATATCAACACGAAGCAGATTATTAGTATAGATCATGCAGGGAGAACAAAGGGTAAAATATTTAACTGCAGCGGTGTTTGACTATATTCTGTGCGGTGAGAAAACCTGAAGTCATTTTCAAGGTCCACCATTTCTTCTTTTCAGTCGGGTCAAGTTTCTGAGCTTTCTAAATCTCCATTTTCTCGCTAATGAAAAGAAAATAGGATTCCATTGAGTCTCCTATCTACCTACTCCAGGACTTCTGTGAGGATCAAATGAGATGAGGCACATGAAAACACTTCACAGACATGTGGTTAAAGTGTAAAGTGTTTCCACCTGGCTAAAGTTGCCTGAGCTGAAGAAACTGCAAGGAGTCTAGTCGTCGCTAGGGAGAGGAAGTCGGGCTTTGCTACATGACATCATTACCTGGACGGAGGGAAGGACACTTAGCTTATTAGCCTTTTAGATAGATAGATAGATGATACAGAACTATGTTGTTGTTCCTGTAATTACAAAAAATGTTCAGTAAATTACATTATACTATTTATATTAGTCTACTTGTAAAAGCCAAAACATAATCTTCTGGTACCAACTAAGGATCCCTAGGTGGCCCTAGTAATGGGGTGCAGAGCGCTAGGGCTCTCCCTGCCGCCTTTTGAGGGGTCTGGGCTTGGCTGTGAGGGAAGCAGAGGGAGAAGCCATTGGGAGGGCGTAGAGGGAAAGACTGGGAGCAGAGGGCCCCTCTTCACAGGTGCTGCAGCTAGTGCTGCCCTGGGTGGGGCAGGCGCCAGGTCCTGCTGCACAGGCAGTCGAGTGAGCAGAGGACTCTGTTGTTGCCATGCCAGAGTGTCCCTGAAGTGGATCCAGCCGCCACCGTGCCCAGGTCCCAGGCGCAGCAGAGGACAAGTGCCGGCTCCTTTTCCTCGCCTCCTCCTCCTCCCTTCTCCGCGCCACAGGCCCCGGCTCTGAGTGTGACCGGCCCCATCACAGCCAATGCAGAACAGGTACTTGCATACACTAGGCACAGGCAAGCCAGCTCTGCCCTAATTCGCCCTCCCAGAGACACGGGCAGGTGTCAGTGACACACAGAGGAAAGGGCCAGTCCCTCTCCTGAGGACTCACAGTCCAGTGGGGGAGACAGGTGCAAAGACAGTCAGGACTGTGGTCACGCTGAGGTGGGAGAGTGTCCAGGTGCTGAGCCCAGAGTTGAGCAGTGCCTGGAAGGCAGCCTGAGCTGCTGCTGCGGAAGGTCTTGAAGCGGGAGAGGGGCCTTGCCAGGCACCGTGCCGGGGCAGGGCTGGTGTGGGG